ACATATGATGCCCTAGTTTAAGCTTAATAGAGCCTTGGCGAGCATCTCGTGAAGATTGAGAATCCGGGCTCCGCGCCCGTCAGCCCGGCCTTTTGCCCTCCGAAAACCGTCCTGCTCTGTTCGGCATCCGTGTCGGCGCACCGAAAAACGCCCCCAACACCGACCACCAGACCGCCGCGGAGGACCGCCCATTCCCAGAGCTGAAGTCCCAGTATACATAAGCGATGGCCACACCGGTTTCACTGACAATACTGGAAGGTGTATCTGTCACGGGAGAGCTGTGCGATTTTTTAGCACTACACCTACCTAGGACCTAGTGCGATTCATATCATACCTGATGTATGTTTTTCCAACTCCACCTCTCGGACATCACCAACAGCCTGGTGCCTTTCCTGTGATGACAGGCAGGGGTTCTGGGGCGGGGCGTTTCTCGTCGGATGCGGATATGTTGTAGTTTTGGAAGTTGTAACTACTATCGATGTTGAGCGTTTCATCGCTATTGTCGCTACCGTTCTCGATATTTCCACAATTCCGACTACGGTAGTCACGAGTAAATTCTGACACGCTAGGGGATTTATTTCGTCTCGCTTATCCGAAATGCCACGGTTTCGTGGGGCAGAACAAAGGTTCCACAGCGTATCGGGTTCTCGTTCAAATTTGCTGTTCAGGCAGAGAAAATGAGGGTATCGAAATATCAGGCAGACAGAAGTTACTGTGTGTGATCTTGGAAGCTTTGGAATCTATCAGAACATTTATGTTACCCATCGTTTACTATCATACTTCCATGCCAAGAGAAATACGCTAAACCACCAGGCAAACATGGCCACCCCGGTGTCATAGATTACTTGTATTATTACCGTATACAAATCATTTCCTTCGATAACAAAGCAAAAATCAGAGTATAAGTAACTCAACTAGAGCCCGGCCCACACAATACGGGGGGCCCAGGACGGCTTCCAAACAAGCCCCCTGATAAGATCGCGCCTAATTGGTGCCGCTAGTCTAAGCGAGTTCGCTATGGTGCCCCTGTTTTCACCGTGTCCTACGATTCTTGTACCGGTATCCTCGCCTAGCTCCACGAGTTACAAACCTCGGCTGATGGGAGTAGCGGACCACAAATTTCATAGGTCCCTGATTTCTCGCGTAGGAGTGCGTCCTATGATATGCGTCATCGTTACCCATATTCGGTCTTCAACTGCAGTGAGCTACACTACGGAACGAATCCCTCCAACTCTTATATTTTCGACCGTCCCCTGTCTCCCATCAACCGCTAAATTCTCCCACTAAACCACAAATTAATAAACATGTTTCCCGCCCTACGTATACTACCTCGTGTAATCCTCACTTGGATATCTGCTGACAGATGGATTCCATTAAGGGGTTGCAAGGAACTATGCAGGGCCAGCCACCCCGGTGGCCATCGTGGTGGTCTCTACAGTGTTTCTATTTACTATGAATTACATAATCCCGAGCGAGTTTCATGAGGCCTATGAAGCGGTCAAAAGGTTGCCCGGAAAATTGGCCGTGTGAAGAGAAGTATTTCTTGCGTGGGGTGAAACCTTGTCTAGAAGCTGCAGAATACACGATCAAAATTTGATGGCCGAGAGGACCAAAGTGCATCGCATGGGTCCGGATCCTTTCCTTATGACGCCCAAGGACCTCAGGAAGTTTGATGCCACTGCATCAAGTTTTGTCAAATTTACTATCTGAGGTTGGGCGATGCACTGTGTGTAGTCCATACTACCTGCTGATACTAATTTCCGTTGCATAGACTCAGCACTAGGGGGGAGAAAAAAAGCAAAAATCAACGAAATGGGATTTCTATTTTTTATTAAGCAATCCATAGAATTGATTATGGGATTATGGTACTTTGTATTAAGTCCTTTGTCTCACTCATGTGATGATGGTAAATAGAGTGATAGAGTGCGCTCCTTGCCACTATCCAGGATTGCGCTCAACTAGGTACTGTGAGGTCTTCTCCCGCCTCTGCGTTCTTTTGTGGGATTGACACACACTCAGGTCTTCTCCTGTTCGGCTCACACCGGAGGTCCGGGAAATGGGTCTGAGAAGGAGTAGAGAGATACTTCACGAGTAACAATGAAGTTGAAATCGGTAAAGATTCAGAAGAAACACAAAACAACCTCGTTCCACGGTGAATCTCTAGAAACAGATTCGCCTATAGAAAAAGACTGTCTATTCTTCTCATAAAGGTGCATGTGTAAAATCTAGGAAAACAATTGCTGCCACGCACTCCCTCATCCTTCTTATTCCTCCTACCCCCTTTTCTGATTTCCCAACCTGTACTAGCTAGATTGTCTTGTCTTGTCAT